CTCTAATGAAGAATTCTTCCTTAAAGTATTAGAGATCTCCTTGAAAGTTCTTATAGGAAAGCATGTGCACTTGTAGAGGGTGAGAAGAGTCAACCATGAGTTACTATTATTGATAAAGAGATCGGGGTAATTGGTTTTACATGTGAGCATTGGAGAGATTTGCAGTATTAGGATTATTGTTTGGAGTGAATTGTCTTGTTGGCTCACTCGCCCAACATGGAACATGAGCTCATGATGCTATTCATTGGATGATCATTATTCTTTTGTTAGAGATAATAGGATTATTGCTTCCCTCTAAAAAAGTTGATATCATGATGGTACAGTTTTGTACAATTGATTATAGTTCATATCATGCAACGACAATAATAATCATAAAACCTTTTGTAATAGTCCGTAGTTGATCCTACCAATTGAATTTTTTAAGGTGTCATTATAAATCTAAATCACAAATCGTCTTCACCATAACATAGATATTATAGTGATTTAATCACACTAATGTTTTTATAATTTTTTGGGCATTGGTGCAAATTCTTAAAAAATTAACACATGTCAGTATAAGTGGGGATTTTGAGACCATCAGGTATTCGTTTTGCAAACCAATTTCATAAAATAATTTTAAATATAATATGTTATTTAATGAATATTTTTTTATAAATTTTTAAGCCCCAAAAGAATTTAATTGAATTTTATATTGAAAATGATTAAATTATAATTATACTATTATTTAATTATAAATATCTTATGCCACTTAATCCTAATTCTGAAAATCGGTTAATAAGGAAAGAATTGGGGAATATAAGAGAGAAATTGAGGAGAGAGAAAAGAAAACCTAGGATTTGGAGGTCGTAGAGCGATTTTCGTCAGTCTGTCATGTTGGGAGATTTTCCCTTCTCATTGTAAGGAAAAATTATTCTATTTCTGGTTTCAATAATTTAATATTTCTGGAATTTTTTTGATTAAATTTGTATTTTCGTTATAAAAAAATAATGATAATTTTGTATTAATAAAACTTTTATCGCGTAACTTTTTATATGTTATAGAAATTAGATTATGAATGTTTTGAGTATTTATTTGAGTTTTTTTGCTAAGTGAGTTTGAAGAACCAATGATTTTTACCAATTTAGAAATTTATCTTTACATATAAAAATAATGATTTAGTTCAAGTAAAGCTTCATAATATTGTTATATATGATCTCTGATAATTTGATTAATTTCTAAAAATGTGAATTTCTGCTTAGTAGGGTATTCTGTTACTTACCGTTAGTATATTTTGGCAATTTCTAAAATAAGTTCAACTATATTTTATTTACTGTAATGCATTGGAGATAAATGTGAATATGTGATTAAGTAATAACTGATCTTTATTATAGTTATAGTACTGTGATATTAATGTGTGTGTAAAGAATAAGTAATAATTAGTTGACCCATTAGTTGAAGATTGATAAACCTGTATAGGATGGTGGGCTGACGGGCTTTCCTTTAAGTACTATGATTGGGTGTTATTCTCTATTGATACAACGATTGAGAGTTATAAAGAATTATTATTGTGTCGACGGGCAAAGAGTGACAATTATGTTTACTAAGTCAACAATTACCGACTATCGATTACTTATTATTTAAAAAAATTGTAATAGTCAAAACTTACTTGTTTAGTGTGACTATTGAAATGCATGTTACATATTCATTATTACTGTATGACTTTACTAATACTGTATTGATTTACTATCCTTGTATGAAATTACTGCTATTGTATTATTTTATTACTACAACCACTAAATCTACTATTACCGATACTATTATTGAACTGTTACTGATACCACTTCTGATTCACTGTTATTGTTACTATTATTTATTCACTGTACTAATATTGAGCATGCGACACACTGAGTACATGATATACTGAGCATGTGGTTAATATACTAATTTGATACTGATATATAATAACTAAATAGCATGTGTACATCATTATAAGGTTTTGATGCATTAATCTGAGTTCGACAATTATTTATTGATGCTTTGATTTTACTGCTTTATACGATTGTTTTATTGATTGATAGTACTAATATGACGGATGTTTTATCGATTCGATACTTGTACTGGTTTAATGGTTTTCCCACTATATTATTTTACTAGCTTTCTTACTGTACTATTTTACTGTTTATAGATTTTACTGTAATTGCATGTGAATTTTATTGTTTTTGCATTGATTCTTGATCATTAGACTGTTATTATTATGAATTAATTGACGACATGTATACTGCTTTTTTACCGTGCTTTGAATTCAGTTATGGGATTTTAGTGACCTGCTGGCTGTTTAACTCATTATATGTTTAAATAATTTTATATCATGGAAAAAGGTACAGGAGTGAAACTGATCAGGATTCCTCAGGGTCTGTTTCTTTTTTTTTTTTTACTTATTTTTTTGTACTCAAGAATGGAAGGATAGGTTGTGATTAAATGATTCCTGAGTATTGTATATAATTTATTTATGGGTGAATGATTATAAATGTATATTGATGTTTTGAATTATAGAATTTGTTTATACCATTTATTACTGACATATGAAATTACATAGCTCTTGTTGTTGTATAATAAAAAATAAAAGAAAGATTTCTTCCAAATTAGATTCTTGGGCCTGACACTTTTATCCACTACGTGGTGTTGGCTACATGAATCCTTTTTCTCCATTGTGTCATGTTAAGAGTTAAATTTTCATTTAAATATAGTAAATTTTCATTTTTAATACTTTATAATCAAGTCTTTTTAAGTATACCTCTGCCTTTCTTAACATAGGCCAAATCTAATATATCTACTCACCTAACAGGGTAATTAGAAGGTCGATGTTTTATGTGACCAAATCATGTTAGACGACTCTCTCTAATCTTACTTGTCACTGGAGCTACTCCAACTTTTTCACTTATATGCTCATTTCACATACTGTCTTTAAGAGTAAAGCCACTCATCCACCTAAGCATCCTCATCTCTGCAACACTTAATTTTATTCTTCTCTTTTAATGACCAATATTCTGCGCCATAAAACATTGCAGGATCTTATAAAATTTTCCCTTAAGTTTGAGGGGTACTTTTCGATCACACAATAAGCCCAATGCATTCTTCCATTTCAACCATCCACCTTGAATTATACTAGTAATATCGCTATCTATTTTATCGTTACTTTGAACAATAGACCTGAGATATCTAAAACATGTACTTTTTTAAAGTCATTTTGGGACCATCAATTGGAGGTCCCCTATAATTGCTGATTGCATTTATATGTCATTTTGAGGGCTGATCGCTTTTTTTTTAGATGAACTAATGATTTGTTGGTCAAACTAATTAATTAAAAAGCGTAATTGTAGGAAATGCAAGTTGTTGGAATAACTATTTGTAATAGAAGCAAGGTTTTAGAAATGATGACTTGTAGGGGAACGGAGAAGTAATTTGTTATGAATGACAACTTTTGGGGGAAGCCAATTTTGTAACAATGATGACTTTCATACTGTTTTGATGTTGACTTACAAGAAAAGCTAGTTCCTTAGATGAGAACCAAGACTTGTAAGAGAAGCAAGTTATTAGGAACAATGAATTTGAAGAGAAATAAGTAGTTCATAAAGGTCATTTATGGAGAAGAATGTTTTCGGGATAAAGATTTGCATAGAATGACATATCACAGGTGAAAGAAGTTCATATTGATAACTCTAGATGAATAAAGTCTTGAGCAATGACTTATAGGAAAGAAATTAGTTCCAAATGATGATTTGTAGGCCAAGTAAATTATTTAGATCAACGGCATGCATTTTAGGAAGTTACAATATGAAGGTGTTAGGGTGGCCTTCCACTGAATATCCCTTAAGAGATATGGTTGATTCTCCTCTCAAGGGTTGGGGCCTTATGTTCATTAATGGTAGTTCTAACAAACAATGGAAAACTATCGTCCATTGGATCAATTCTTGTGAATTACAGTCGGATGCCGCTAGGATATCTAAGTCTTGAATTGCTAATGCACACTACTAATCAAATAAGAGGTCAACACCTAACTCAAAGATTATGGTCCTGGGGTAAGCCTTTGATGCTTTACTAAGAGATTGAGCTACAAGGGGGACTTGAAGGACCAAACCATTTGAGGGTCCATTGACCCTTTCTTGGACTTGATTTATGACCAGGGGTTGATGGACGAAATTCTTGCTAGTTGAGGCTAACGTTTGAGGGATGGGGATAAAAGAAAATAGCTTAGGTTATTCATACATATTGACGACTAAGAATGACATGGTAATCTGTGAATTTGCTTTTGAGAGATTACAATCTGATGGTGTTGGTTGTTGTAATATTGAAGCATGCATGATAGCTTTTTAATGATTTGTTCGTAGTGTCATTTAAGGATTCCCATGGTATCCCCCAATCTGTTATCATGTAGAGCACTAATTGGTCTCCGAGTGTTGTATTGACGACAAGATGAATGATCTACACCTTGCTTTATAATATGTTTCTTGTGGGGTACCTCATAGACACCTTGCTTCTTTTCATGATGAATTACATGAATATCTTGGAGCATGGATTAGATGATTTAGATTGAGATTTAGGCTTCATTTGGGACGACTTTCTTATTGCTTTTTAAAGCAAATTCTTAGTAGAAAAATTAAAATTTTTGTACTAGAAAGATGCTTGAAGAAGCAAAAAGAAAGCCGTCCCAGACCTAAATCAGCCTCATTTTAATATATATTGTTTTCTTGATCCAGGCCTTGCCCAAACCAATCATTATGGTTATCTCGAATACATTTAGGAAGGTTCATGGTAGCCACCTTCCTCCATGGCCACCAGATCTCAAATATTATTCTTACATTTGATGATTACATGTAGAAATCTCGGATCTGACCTTCTTTGTTATTTGATGATAGGCATAGAGGCTATATCTGTAGTCAACAATGCATGGTGTTGAGAGGTGTTGAATAATGGCAGGGAAGAAGAAAGTCATGTGAATACTGTCGTTGATGCCTGCATTTGAATGATGAACAATATTGAGGAGATCGAGGAATCTCCCAAAAATTTTCTCATGACTTTTGGGAAGTCCAAGGTCTTCCATTATATACATTGGATCCAATGACAGTTTGAATGGCCAAAAATCTACTTAGAGAATCTTTTAGTGGCAGTGGTAGAGATATTCAACCTTTCCATGGCCACCTACTTAATGTAGTTGTTCTTCACCTCTCTCAAGCCTACTCGCTTCTAATCATCTCCTTCTGCCATCTTTGCCTATTTCCAACAGTGACAAAGAAGGCCAGACAACCAATTCCGCCACCCTCACCCTACACATCCATTAGACAATCCTGATCAAGGACCGGTCAATTAGACCTGGGTGCCTCCATCCACGCAGATCAGTTGATTGTTGCTCTGGGATTCATGCCCATTGCGCAGATTAATCACAATTGGCCCTTTTGTGGGGTACAAGAATGTGAATCTACTTCAGTTCACCCTTACCTAAAAAAATGCATCTAAACAGAGTAATTCATTACATTTTCTTTAGCTGATTTGGTAAAATACTCATGCAGACCAATGAAATTGAAGTAGATTCGCAGCTTTGTTCATATGGAGTCAAAAAGTGACAAACTCAATGAAGAAGGATGGCCCATAAAGTGAATATAAATGAATGTATTTTTTTCAGTACCCAATCCCATGTTTGCAGATTTTGGTAATGAGACTTTTTCAGGCTTTATAACAACAATTATATGGATGATCCTCTTATAAAACCTCATTACATTTGTTTGTGTGCTAATGGTTTTCCTTTTGATTTCTATGATTTTCCTTGTGAAACAGAAGGTCGTGGAATCAGACTTCTTTAATGAGGAAATTGTCGTAGACCGTGTTTTAGTACTTGCCACAACCTTGTTCTGCTCATCAGTGAGGTAAGTTTCTAGTAATTCTAGTTAATGTGCTGCAGAGATTGATCAGAAACGTTTCTACTTCATCTTTTATTAGCTGGAATGCTAGTAGTTGAGAGTATGATTATTCATGGGGTTGCTAAATGCCTAAATGAGGCTTACTTAGTCAAGATCTTTTTTTGTTCATAATACTTGGTGCGTACTGTAAAAACTCACTAAAGCATATTGATCTAGATAATTGCTAAGGCTGTATAATAACGCGATTGGAGAAGTCATCATCATCATCATCAACTTTTTGCAGCCATTTTTATGATTACTTGGCATGGAGAAAAAAAAAAAAAAGAAATAGCTGAATGAACAAATTATCTTTTTTAGGGAGATTTACATACATACCACTTTATTTCATATTATTTACATATCTAACACCAAAATTTTAATATTACAATCTTACCATTCAATAAAATTTTAATATCAAATATACCACTTATATATTTCATTTTTGTCACCCATAGCACCCTATAAATTTTAATATTTTACTCCATATTTCCATATTTGTTCTATGGGTGATAAACATGCAATATTAAAGTTTTAGGTGTTAGATATGTAAATAGTATGAAATAAAGTGGTATGTATGTAAATCCCCCTTTTTAGGGAGATTTAGATTTTTTATGATTAGATGGGGGTATTTAAAGAATATTAACAAAATATTTTTGAGAGTAAGGTTCTAGATCTTAAGATTTTGTTCGTGTATGAGGAAGCTAAGATTATATGAGAAAAAGTAGTTAGTGATATTAAAAATATTGCAAAGACATGTTTGAACAATCAAAGGAAAATACTCTTAATTATAAAAATAGTTGATGTCAGAATCAAAATATACAAGAACAACAACAACAACAACATCAAGCCTTTATCCCACTACGTGAGGTTGGCTACATGAATCTTTTTTCTCCATTGTGTCATGTTAAGGAGAAATTATTAGTTGCGGATTTGGATGTAGTTTTACATCTGGACTTCAATTAAATTAAGACACATGGATTTCTTACTTTTTTTATGACCCGATGACCCGACTTAGCCCAATCGTGAAAATTTTGAAATTGTGGCAGCCCACTCATTTTTATGTTAAAAAAAAAAACCCCGCAAAAGCTCCCAAATATTTAGGGTTTTTGTAGAATAAAATTTTTTGTACTTGTTGATAGAGAAAAATGAGAAACATGATATGAAGATGAAAATTAGTTTTGAGGATGTCGCATTGTCTAAAAGGCCAATGAAAAAGAAGGAAAAACTTAAGAGTAAGAAGTAATTTAATTACCTAATAATTTCTTTTCAATATATATTATCAGGCAATATATGTTTTGTTGAGTTTAATTTTTCAATAGAGAAAGATGTCGTAGAGGTAAATACAACAGAACTGTGTTCACCTTCAAGGCAAATCAAGTTCTCAAACAAGCCCCAAATTTCAACGAGGAATTTATAAACTGGGCGGCAATGATTTATGTATTTTTTATGATGTTTCACACACATTAACTTAGAATGTATTCTTCAAAAATTTATATGTTGAATGTTGCGAAAAAGAATGCTTGCATAAATTAACTATGTAAAATTTTATGTATAATAATAATTTTTTGAAATTTCATTTATTCTCTCATATGTCTAATGCATAGTAGGGTATAAGGGACATTTTTAAATGTTATTTTTTTTTCTAATCTTTTTTGTGGCTGGATTATTTTTTTGCAAATACGCACGGTGTAATCGTGTGTATTGTTATGTATTCAAGCTTATATGAATATACAATATTTTATTTGTTCATCTGAAAGTTTTTTAAGCTTTTACACAGCTATGTATTAGAAAAATTATGTTGATAAACGTGATTTTTTTGCTAATACTCATTATATATTGATATGTATTGGTGTGTATTGTTATGTATTCAAGTTTATATAAATACATAATATTTTATTTATTCATTTGAAAGCTTTTTAAGTTTTTACATAGCTATGTATTATAAAAATTATATTGAAAAATGTGATTATTTTGTTAATACACATTGTATATTGACGTGTATTAGTGTGTATTGATATGTATTCAAGTTTATATGAATATACAATATTTTATTTGTTCATTTAAATTTTTTTTGAGTTTTTATACAACTGTGTATTAGAGAAATTATTTTAAAAAATATAATTTTTTTGCTAATATGCACTGTGTAATGCTATGTATTATTGTGTATTGCTATGTATTCAAGTTTATATGAATACACAATATTTTATTCTTTTATTTAAAAAATTATGTGTGCTTTCATACAATTGTGTATAAGAAAAATTATGTTAAAAATATAATTTTTTTGCTAATACACACTATGTATTGGTGTTTATTATTATGTATTCAAGTTTATATGAATATGCAATATTTTATATGTTTATTTGAAAGCTTTTTAAGCTTTTAAACAACTGTACATTAAAGAGATTATGTTGAAAAATATATATATATTTAGTAATAAATATTATGTATTGCTGTGTATTATTATGTGTTAATAAAGTATATATAAATATACAATATTTTATTTGTTTATTTAATATTTTTTTGAACTTTTACACAGCTGTGTATTAAAGAAATTATATTTAAAAATATTTTTTTTTGCTAATACGCACTATGTATTGCTGTGTATTGTTATGTATTCAAGCTTATATGAATACACAATTTTTATTTATTCATTTGAATGCTTTTTGAACTTTTACACAATTGTGTATTAGAGATTATGCTAAAAAATATGATTTTTTTGCTAATATAAATTATATATTGATGTATTGTTGTGTATTATTATGTATTTATGCTTATATAAATCTACAATATTTAATTTTTTTCATTTGAAAGCTTTTTAAATTTTTACATCATTGTGTATTAAGAAAATTATGTTAAAAAATATGATTTTTTTTAATACACACTATGTATTGATGTGTATTGCTATGTAGTCAAGCATATATAAATCTATAATGTGTATTGTTATGTATTTATGTTTATTAGAGAAAAAATGTGATTTTCTGTTGCTTGATATTGTGTATTGTAATGTTTTATCAAATCTAAGTCCATATGTTCTAATTAAAATTTATCTACCAATTAAATTTGTTTTACAAAGACATAATATATGACTAGTCAATTAATCAACTCATATTATTCTTATCTTAAAATAAATTCAATAGCAGAAAAATTATCTTTATAAATTTAATCTGACTTACACAATAATTCACAACAGTATACAAAAATACATATTAATACACAGTAATACATAAAGATGCACAACAATATATAACAATATATAATAATATATAATAATATATAACAATATATAGTACAACATAATAATACACAATAATACAAAATAATACATAGCAATGCACAGTATGTATTAACAAAAAATCACATTTTTCAATATAATTTTTCTATTACATAGCTGTATAAAAGCTCAAAAATCTTTCAAATGAACAAATAAAATATTGTATATTCATATTAGCTTGAATACATAGTAATACACAGTAATACACTGTACGTATTAACAAAGAATCATATTTTTTAACATAATTTCACTAATGCAGAGTTGTGTAAAAGTTAAAATAGTTTTTAAATGAAAAAAATAATATATATTCATATAAGCTTGAATACATAAAAATACACACTAATACATAGCAATACACAGTGCGTGTTAGCAAAAAAATTATATTTTTCAATATAATTTCTCTAATACATAGCTGTGTAAAAGCTCCAAAAGCATTCAAATGAATAATAAAATATTGTGTATTCATATAAGCTTGAATACATAACAATACACAACAATACATAGCAATACACAGTGTGTATTAGCAAAAAAAATTTACCAGCCATAAAAAAGATTAGGAAAAAAATAATATTTTTTGAAAAATACCCCTCATACACAACTATATATTACATGCGAGAAAATAAATTAACTTCCAAAAATTATTATGTTATATAAAATTCTGTATAGTTGATTATAGAAGCATACATTTTCATGGCATTCGACATATAAATTTTTGAAGAATATATTCTTAGTTAATGTGTGTAAAACATCACAAAAAATACAAAAATCATTGCTGCCCAGCTTATAAATTCTTCATTGAACCAATGGGACTTGTTTGAGAACTTGATCTACCTTGAAGGTGAAAATAATTCTGTTGTATTTCCCTTTACGATAGATTTCTCTATTAAAAAATTAAGCTCACCAAAATATATATTGTCTAATAATATACATTGAAAAGCAATTATAAGGTAAGTAAATTACATTTTACTCTTAATTTTTTCTTATTTTTCATTGGACCTTCAGAGAATACGACGTCCTCCAAAACCAATTTTCATCATAATCGTTTGTTTTTCGTTTTTCTTTCTCAATAGGTACTAAAAGTTTTATTCCACAAAAATTCTAAATATTTGGGAGCTTTCGTGGTTTTCTTTTTTAAAAACATAAAAACGAATATATATACTCTCCTAACATACTCCATGTTAAGAATCAAATTCTCATTTAAATCTAATAAAGAATGATCATTTCTAATATTTTTCAACCAAATCTTTTTAGTTCCACTTCTACCTTTCTTAACATAGGTCAAATCTAATATATATATACTCTCCTAACAGGATCATTAAAAGGCCGCCATTTTACATTACCAAATCATGTAAGGTAACTCTCTCTAATCTTATGTGTCATTGGAGCTACTCCAACCTTTTCACAGATATACTCGTTTCGTATCCTGTCTCTAAGATTAAATCCACTCATTCACCTGAGCATCCTCATCTCAACAATACTTAACTTAATATCATGCTTCTCTTTTAATGGCCAACTTTTTGCACCATAAAGCATTATAGGTCTCATCGCCATCTTATAAAATTTTCTCATAAGTTTGAGTGGTACTTTTCTATCACACAACAAATCCGAAACATTGCTCCACTTCAACCACATCTAACTTGAATTCTATTAATAATATTCCCATATTTTTCACCATCACTCTGAACAATAGATTCAA